ATGTGACAATGTAAGCATCACTGGCAGGTGGCAGCATTTGATTCTCATCCCTAATTGCCCTCGAGAAGGTAATGGTGCTTAAACAATCCGCAGAATGGATTATGCCACAAGGAAACTCTACAATTTTGACCCAGAGATTGTGAAGGGCCAGCAATATAATTCCAAAGCAGGATGGTGTGTGGCCTGGAGCAGAAGGTGAAGGTGGTAGGGCTCTCACAGTCTTACAAAGGTTTATTAAATAATAAAAGAATTGGGAATGGTACATCCAGCCAATCACCGGAAAGAACTATAGAAATTCCACAATTAAATTTGAGCATCACAGTTGAAGAATAATGTTAGGGAGAGAATTACGTACACTGACCAGAATCAGAGCTAAACAAATATAATTATTGTCATTAATGATTGATAATTCTGCCTGTTTATCATTCGATTTATCTAGACTGCAGCAGTTCAAGGCAGCAGCTCACCACCTTCTCAAGGGCAAAAAACACTTTTCTAGCCATCCATGCCTGCATCTTGTGCACAAATACAAAAAATACATGCAGAATTTTAACATTCATAAAGGAACATTGTGAGGATTCTGGTCTCGCAATCTTCAGGCAATTCTTTACTCAAAAAAATTGTTTTAAACATGGTTTTATTAAAGAAAGCACCATGTTCTCAGAGAATCCAGTCTACACTTATATCAGATGGGTTTACTTTGGGTTTTGATGTATTTGTACTGCATTTTCATTTTTATAGCTGTGGCCAGTGATGAAGCAGTCAGCTTGTAGAGGATGACTGCAGAATCTAATGTGTCATCCTGCACTTCCCAGCAATTTTTAAGACCTTGAAGTGTTACATCAAAGGCAGAGAAGAACTGATTGTCACACAAATTGCTAGTTACTCTAGGAAATTTGAATAAGATTAGCCCTTGGATTGCACAGAAATGCACCAATTTTCCTTGCTCACTATTAAGCCTTGCCTTTTTACAGTGCTCAGATCTCTGGCTTTAAAGCATCTGTGACGTTTTTGATAATTAAAGCGTAGAGGGAAGTACAAAAACAGGCATAAACTACTGCAGGACCACACTGAGCAAAGGTTATGTTTAAAGACAGCAAAAACAAAAGCAAAGAGAATTGTATTAAATACAAGCAGCAATGTGGCAAGGACCCGTTATGCTATTCTTTTAATGATGGTCCGACGATAAATGTTAAACCGGGATACCGGGGATAAATCTCTTGCTCTTCATCAAAATAATGATCCTTTACATCCACATGAGAGAGCAGGTGGAGATTCAGTTTAATGTCTCATCCCATGGCGGACGAGAAAGATCATCCTTCCTCACTCTTCTGCTTTTCCACCTAGTCTTCTGTCCTCCAGGCAATCCATCAACTGGACACCACAACTGTTCTCTCGGACCATGTGCTGAGTAATAGATATGAAGCATTTTACTTTGTGCCTCAGTGCTGATTAGTGACTTGGGTGTAATGTTTAATTAGCCTTGTAAGGCTGTACTCTGCAGCACACAGATAGATTTCAACAATGATTATGAATTATGAGTACAAGGAGCTCATACCTCCCACACATTAGAGAAAGTCTCGAACTACTCCGATGCTTTCCACGAGAGAGAGAGAGACTCTAAAAAGTGGAGTTGGCAACGAATGAGTCTCCCTGTTATAACCTCCAGGCAGAACTGTAATTAGCTGTTACACAATCTGAAATGTAGCAGAAGGAGACATCTGAAAATTACCTGGCCTCTCCCAGACCTCTCATATTCCCAGATATTCCTGCTTTTAAGTGGCACCATTTTTCAATCAATGATGCAAGACTCTTGCTTCAGTCATGTCATGATTGAGGAATGGTATCACTGTATCATTACTAAATCCCTAATCTTTACTAATGACTTTGAGTTCATTGTCAGCCATATACTGCAAAAGGACTTGGCACTTTGTCCATTAAATTGTACCAGCATGCTCCCATGTAATTATAAAAGTCCCTCAAGCACAGCAACGAACCATATTAAGGGTGGAGAGCCAGCGTTTTTCTGGTACTGCACGTATGCCTATCTTGGCAGGGGTAGATCAGCACTGTTCTGGGGTTTACACCATTGCACCATTCTGGCCCTCCTTTCACCATCCCTTCTTACTTCAGTTTTGTGCAAAATTGCTCAACATGTCAGGAGACATCATAAAGCCAGGTCATCCTGCCCCAACTGTGAACAGACAGTGTCAGTGGAAGGTAGAACATGTATGTGATGATAGTAGGCTTTAAGAGGTTTTTTTGTCCTTTTTGTTATGCAGAAAGGTTGAGACAGAGGTAACAGGCAATCTGCTCAAAGTCCATAAAATATACAGCATGTAAAGCCTTCAGGTTTTTTTTTAAAGTTGGAACAATAGAAGCAGCCTGAATGGGTGGGGTCAAGCTCCCACTGAACCAGGATTCAGAGATAGTAGGAACTGCAGATGCTGGAGAATCTGAGATAACAAGGTGTAGAGCTGGATGAACACAGCAGGCCAAGCAGCATCAGAGGAGCAGGAAAGCTGACGTTTCGGGCCTAGACCCTTCTTTAGAAACGAACCAGGATTGTTAGGTTTTTTTTAAACTTTTCAGTAGCAGCAGCAGCTGGATGTGGAAGCTGTTTACTTCCTCTCAAAATTACAGCTAAAAGCTGGGGTTCTCTTCCTGCTGCTGAACTGCATGTGAGACAATCTATTTTACTGAATTTGCCTTTGCCAAGGATGTGTTTATGAGATATGTTTATGGGATGTTACTTTACTATATTTGGAACAGTTAATTAGTGGTAGTTGATATATATATTTGGGCAGAAGTATCTAAACAGTTACCATTACATATTGAGGCTGTGTTGTTAAGTATATTCAGTCTAAAAGAGACTCATTTTTAATCAGGAAAGGAATCAGGGATTATAGGGAAAAGGCAGGAAATTGCAATTGAAGATTATCAGCTCTTTGATGCCATTGAACACTACAGCAGATTTGATGGGCTGAATAAGAACATAAAGACATAGGAACTAGGAGCAGGAGAAGGAAATTCAGCCACTTGAGCCTGCTCCATCATTTAGTACAATTAAGGCCGATCTCATCTCAGCCTCAACTCCTCTCTGGCATATTTTGGCTCCTGTGTCTCAATACCTTACGTTTGGAGGAACAGTCTCTCTGTAAATGGAGCAGCAAAGGAAGAATGTATCGGAACAACACAAGGAGAGGTGAAAGAGAGTCTTCATGCGAATGGGCACGTGGAAAGACAGAGCAATTTGAATGACAATGTTACCGTACCACTGAGAAGAGCCAAACCAAATACAACTCTTCGTCTGAAGCACAGCAAAGGAGGATGCAAGAGAAAGGGGGCGAGAGGATTAGAGAAGGAGCAGGCTTTAAGGAGCTCATTCCAGTATTTAGGGTCTGAACAGTTGAAAGCATGGCCATTCTCGTGGTGCAAGGGAACAGGGAATGGGCAAGAGGCCAGGGTTAGAGGAGCAAAGAGCGGTCATATTAACTGAAGGGTTGCAGGAGGAAGAGGTGATAGAGTGAACTTACAGCTGCATGCAAAATCCCTGTTAAATAGCATGCATTTGACATTGTACAACAATGGTTTCTTACTCTCGGCAGTCAGACTGGGAATCACTTTGTTACTGTGGAAGCAACTCGGCTGAACAGCTGAAAATTCTACCACAGGTGTGAAATATTGTATCTAATGCTACATATGGTGCAGGGGGGTCCATTTCGGCCACGGAGTCCCACCAGCCCATTTCTCCACCAGCCTCAGCCAGACCTCCACGCCCCAGTGAGGGATGGGGGAATCCGCAGTAAAACTAGGACATCAAAGCAAACAAATCAAAGCAAATTGCAGCGTTTTTGTCCCACTCACTGAGTCTTGAAGAAGAGTACTTGTGAAGATTGTCAGAAACACCACAGGCAAAACATAACTAAATGGTTCCTTCCATCCAAGAGATAAAATGTTTACTCAATTCCACCAGAGCAGTTTTATTAGCTTGCAGAGATTGTTCCACACAAATCAATGAGCTGATTTCTGGAAGGGCACCCTGCATCGGATAAATAACTATGAAGGAGCCAGTCACACATATATGTGCCATCATCTGTTTTCCCATTGTAATAATTTATCGCTTCACAAGTTAATGAAAATCTCTTTCACTACTACAAGTTGACTAACAATATTAACAGGAGTCTGAGAAACATTCCACCCACCGTTCACGGTTTATTGCTTCAATCTTTTGCTGATAGGAAAACTGATCCACAGTTGCCAGTGTCATTCTGTCAATCCACAGCAAGTGTCCAAAATTCACAGCTTGCTCATGTCAGTCTGTAGTCAAACTTCCTAAAATGATCATGTTAGCCCCATGTCTAAATATCCAACCAATCAGAAACCTTAGTGTATCACTCCATTAAACAAAATGAATAGCAATGAACAAATGAAGCAACTAGTTTTTAAAATCTCTCCCAATATCAGTCAAATGTGTCTTCATATTCATTAAATTGGGAACAACTTGCCTGATAATAGCATAACGTGTTATTTTTAAAGTTTAAAGCTTCCCCGTACATCATTCATCACAGGACTTAATTCATTTGCTTCAAGTGGATTTTAAGTTACAATTAAATTAGTAAAAGGATTTAATACAACAATATGAAGTATTGTACGATAATATTTTCCAAAATAACTTCCACACGGACTTCCTCAATGCTTAAAATATTGATTTAGTGTTTTCTAATTTGACCATTTGTTTTTATTTTTGTTTTGCCCATACAAGTTGGCCATTTGTTATATCCTCAGCAATGAAATGACTTTGGGCAGTGCAAATTCACAAAACGTACTTCTATGGAGGCAAGTGTATCAAAATGATGCCACACCACCCACTCTATAAAGCCTCATATTTAACTACAGTACCTCATAGTATCATACATTGGATGCTGTACATACATTATACCCATGAATCTATGCACAATTTAGTTTGATCCTTTCATTAGATGTACAGATCCACCTACCTGAATGTTGTCAAATGATGTTTTGTTTGTGACGTCATACAGCAGCAAAAGAGCTGTAAAAGGAAGGAAATAGTTTATAAAATTAAGTCACAAATCAGTTGTGATGTTAAGTTCAGGCCATACAAAAGATGTTTTGAATAGCTGGCTTGTATGACTAATACACTGAAATGAAACAAAATTGATGCAGATAAAAATATTGACCCAGATTCTGCAGTGGTAATTATGATGAACCCTCAGTGAGACACCTCAGTCTCTTTGGAAAATCAACTAAATGAATAGAGCTTCACCTTTATGCTATTGGGTTCACCATGAAATCCCTTGAACAAATCACATCTTTGTTGTAAGAAATGCAACTGGGCTTTTAACAATGCTTGTTATCACTTATAAATACCTTTATTGGACCTGAAAATTGTTTTTTTATTTGATTTTTATATTGGTGGAATTTCAAAATTCTCCATAAAGATAAAAAAGAACCCACACCATTTTTTTTAAGAAAATGTATTTTTATCTTTTCTTTAGCATCTCTTATTCCAATGATAATCATTTGGTTCACTATTTGAAATTTCAAAGGAAAGTAATTCAATGTTTTTAACTTCCATATTTGCTGAATAAATGAATATTTCAGTGTGACTGGCCCAATTACTGGACATGACTTTTGAAATAACTGCATGGAGGCTGATCCTGTCACCAAGTTACCCTTCAATAACACAAGAACAGTTATAGTCATAGAGTCATACAGCACAGAAACAGACCCTTCAGTCCAACCAGTCCATGCTGAACATAATCCCAAACTAAACCAGTGCCACCTCCTGCTCTTTGCCTATATCCCTCCAAACCTTTCCTGTTCATGTACTTATCCTAATGTCTTTTAAATATTGTAATTGTGCCCACATCCACTACTTCCTCAGGAAGTTCATTCCATACATGAACCACCCTCCTTGACCTAAGCACTGCCTGTTCAGAGTCTGGTCTCAGAGTGTCAGTCTCTCCCCTTTTTATCTGTCAGCCAGGGCTCCCTGATTGGACCAGATTATCAGCCCCAATTAGGAACTCTTATTCTACGAGGTTTGGCTAGCTGACATTAACAGGAAGCCAATAGCAAAAATTCTACCAGCTAGAGAGGGGAATGAATGTAATTATACAACGCTCAATGCTTTTGTGGCAAATTTCTTTAGCTGCTCTGACCACATGATTGTGAGTGTATATTTCATGATGTACAAGGTGATCATGATTATATAGAAAGGCTTTATGGTCTAAAGGATCTTGTTTGTCCATCATTGTTTGAGTGTTTATTTGTGCTAAATGGAGACGCAAACCTGTTGTTTAATTCATTCATGCATTTATTGCCCATCCCCAATTGCCCAGAGGACAGTTAAGAGTCAGCCATGTTGCTGTGAGTCTGGCATCACATGTAGGCCAGACCAGGCAAGGATGGCAGATTTCCTTCCCTCAAGGATATTAGTGAATGAGAACCAGATGGGTTTTTCCTCATATTTGGCAATAGTTTCATGGTCATCATTATTTCTAGAGTATTATTGTATACAAATTCCACCATCTGCCATGGCAGGATTCGAGACCAGGTCCCCAGAACAAAATCTGGGTCTCTGGATTAACAGTCTAGTGATAATGCCGTTGGACTGTCACACCTATTTAAGAAAATAGATGAAGTCCACTGTTAGATGGCAGAGAGAAAGCTTTAAAGATTTGATTGACACCACAGGACTGAACTTTACAAGGTACTGTAACACCCGCTACCTCTCCATGCCGAAAAGCTGGTGGGGGTGTGCCCACCCATGATCTCGCCCACGAGACTTCCACCCATTTCCTGGGAGGAAGCATGATTGTCCATACCAGGGCAAGCCTGGAGCACTGGCCATTTCTGGGCCTACAAGCAGTCCCCAAAGCTGAGCAGCCCGACTGACATGGCAAAGGCAGGGTCCGGTTTGTAGGCATGGGTAGGGTTGAGGTGAGTTGGGTTGAAGTGAGTTGGATTGGGATTCTGGCTTCAAGATACCTAAGTGAAGGATTAAAGGCTGTGGGTAAAAAGAAAGGGGATATGTTTCTGATGGGCCAAGGGGCCTACAAAGGAGGTTCCCCCTTCTAGGCTGCCAGAAACCCGCACAGCTAAAATTAGTGGGCTTCTTGTGATGTGTGGGCCCCTTTCTGAGTCAAAGACTGGGAGAGGGTGGGACAAGACCTGTGAATGATCATTAATTAGGCCCATTTCAGATTTCATGTCTAGGAGACTGTGTGCCAGTGATATGGAGATGGACTTAGCCGTGATTGGCTCCCTTTACAAGAACATCATGAAAATGATGCGGGGTTTTTACAGAGGAGATGGAGAGTAACTGGATCCTTTGGTGGAAGGGTTTAGAACTGGAGAACCCAAGTTTTAAACTGACGAATTTAAGGCAATGTGAAGAAAAACCTCACTACTCAGCAAGTAGCTACAATCCCAAATGTGGTCCTTCAGGGGCTGGTGCAGACAGATTCAGTGGTTTTCAAAAGGAATTTGGATAGAAAACATGTGTAAGCCTTTGGGGTATAGTTGTATGAGCAGGGCATGTTAAAATACTCTCGCAGAGAGGCAGTATGGTTTTGCAGATCTGAATGGTCTTCTACAACCCTATAATCATTCCAGGATTCTAATATTGATCAAACATTACTAATAGTTTGGAATATTAATCCCAAAACTTCTAAATGAAGAGAACGACCTGTAGACCAACTAACCTGGCATTGATTCAAAAATACTTTAAATTCATTCCCTTCAGATCTTTCAGAACTGTACAGTTAAAACTTACAAAAACACAAGCGTGATCAACTTGACTAGAAGCAGACTCCTGCATCACAATGCTTACATTTCCAATAAGTTTTTCTGTCTTTGCTCAAACTAAAGTTCATTGCACACACTGCCTGCTATAATGAGGACTGAGGGCAAAATATCTTAGCTTTGTTTTTACACGAAAACAGTAGGTAGTCTAACAGCTATTAACTATCTTCAAGATCACTGTAGTTTGGAAACAGAACCTGTAATTTCTTTTAATCAAGTTCCAATACCTCAGGATGTCACACTGCTTTACTTCATGAGAAGGTGTTGGCTGTGTCCTTGCAGGATACCATACTGATTGTGGATGGTTTCCTTGCTGACTGATCTTCTATTGCAAAGCAGAGCATTTTGATAGAGCTGAAATAGGCGGGGTATTCACAAATGAAACAGTTGGACAGATTTTCTGCATGCAGTTATTATTCCAGTTTAGTTGGAAGTTGGGAAACTGTGGAATTTCCAATCTAGCAAACTCCAGTTGAATCACTGAGGAGAGTAAATTTTCTGCTGGGCAATTCCTCTAGGCCTGGAGCCCTCCGAAAGCATCCGTAAGACTTCAAATGGTTCCAATGACTGAGGAAAATTGTTTGGCAGGAAAAGTTAGACTGTTAAATACATAATCTAACTCCTGAGTAACTATCAAACTGACACCATACTTAATACAACACGCCCAGCTACACCTCCCCCAAAACACTTCCACACCCCAGGCTCAGCCCTGACAACCCCAGGGACTGACCTGCCCCCACCCTAGAACCCAACAGCCTCTTCTCAACAGGATACCCCCAACTGACAACCCCCCCCCCAATAAACACCCACTATTGCCTGCAGTCCTGCTCTGTCCTCAACCCATCGCTAGCCCCATAATCATCTGATCCAACCCCCACGAAACCTGAACCAACCTCATACCTCTTACCCACACTGTCAGCACAGGACTGGACCCCTACCCTACCGCTGGATATGACCACCCACTCGCCTTGCCCCTCTGGACTCACACAACCATCTAATCCCCCGCCTTCCCCTACTGGTCCCCAGTCTCCAAACAGACTTAACAACCACCTTCCCCACACCACAGTGCACCCAGTTTCTCCAGCCCAGCCCAAGCTGCCATAAACACTGCATCACTTTACCGGCTTCCATTGCCATCCCAGACCCCTCCCGAGCTGGCCCTTTCACCAGATGGCCCCTATACCCCTCCCCAGCTGGCACCTGGCACCTACCCACCTGACATCCTACCCATCCAGCACCATGCCCTCGCCGCACCCCAACATCACACTTATTTATATACTTACCATTTCCCAGCAGCTCTGGGGGCCTTTACAATTCAAAATCCAGCAGCTGGTTACTGTGAAAATGGGACGTGGTTTGCTTCCCGCTGACATTTCTATGTCGCAAAAGAATTGCCAGAATGGAAGTATGGCTCTGCATCTCTGAGGGAGACATGAGGAAGATCTCCTCATCGAAATCTGGAGCTCCCTTCTTTCATATATGAGGGTTGGGAGTGGTAACCCTGAGCAAGAGTGCCACAGCCTCGAGAATCTGGCCCAGTGTGTTTTATAGTCCAACTCTTGTGACATCAAAACCAATGACATGACAGAGTTGGAGGCATGTGTGAGATTGACAAAAAAATTTACGTTCATGAAGTACCTTTCATCACCGCCAAGTGTGTTTAAAGTCTTTATGAGCATTGAAGTAATTTTGAGGAATAGTTACTCTGGGAAGATAGGTAGTACAGCAGCCTTTCTATGCACTGCAAGCTCCCACCAACGGCACTGTGATAAATAACATCTGTGATGTTTAATGAGGGATAAATATTGGCCAAGACAACAGCATTTGCTGCCCTTCATAAACAGTACCATGCGATAATTTACATCCAGCACAGGGGACAGATTGAGCTTTTGTTTAATATTTTATCTGTTCCAACAGTGTCGCACTCCCTCAGCACTGCACTGGGGCATTGTTTCTGACTTTGGCTTTTGTGTGCAAGTCCCAAAATGGGTCTTGAACCTACAACCTCAGAGATAAGCGGGATATCAATTGAACCACAACAAGTGCAGAGTTAACAAACTAGTACTTTTCCTATTCAATAACAGAAACTTGGGCAATGTATGAATGGAGTCCCAATTCACATTGCTCCCATCTCACACAACTGATGCAGATCAATTTCACCCACATAACACGCAATGCATTAGACCTCTGCCTTTTCAAAACATTATAGTTAACAAAAATACA